GATGAGGTGCGCAAGATAGCGCGAACAAAATACAATGCACTAACAAGTGCAAGTAAATATTGTTAGCAACATGCATGACAATGCAAATGTGGATGCAAAACGATATGCGATATATACAAAACAATGTATAAACAATGCAAATGCAGATGCAATGTAATTGAAACAATGCAAGCCACATGCAAAGCAATTGAATCGTGATCCAATCATGAGCGGTTAATAAAATAAGATTGAATGTATATTTAGCTTTTGTTGTGAATCTTAAAAATTAAAAAAAAATGGTTGTGAACCTTAAAAATAAAATAAAAAAAAATTGGAGGTATATTTAGCTTTGGTTGTGGATCTTAAAAAAAATAAATAAATAAAATAAATAAATAAATAAATAAAATAAATAAATTGGTTGTGAACCTGAAAAAATAAATAAATAAAAAAAAGAAAAAAGATTGAATGTATATTTAGTTTTGGTTATGAATCTTAAAAATTAAAAAAAAATGGTTGTGAACCTTAAAAATAAAAATAAAAATTAGATGTATATTTAGCTTTGGTTGTGGATCTTAAAAAAAATAAATAAATAAAATAAATAAATAAATAAATAAAATAAATAAATTGGTTGTGAACCTGAAAAAATAAATAAATAAAAAAAAGAAAAAAGATTGAATGTATATTTAGTTTTGGTTGTGAATTTAAAAAAAAAAAAAAAAAAACATATGGGGAAATTAGTGGGTACCCATCCCCAACCCATCCCCTGTGGATATTTAAAGAATATCACCTACCCTACCCAATAGATAAGAAAAAGAGGGGAAAACCCATGTATTTGGGTTGGATCTCCATGGATACCTACAGGATAGGTTATCCATTGCCATCCCTAGTTAAGCGTACTAAATGTTGCTTTGTTAAGGTTGGGTATTCTTATATGTGACTATTATATTGCTTATATTTTAAGCATTAGGTTCTGCATCATTCCATTCTTCAAGCTTAATATAAATTTGATTTCCTAAACGTGCTTTGGGAAAATCAGGCCAAGTTGATCTTTCTGATGTATAAACATGTGGTGGAGGAACTTATGTGTTCACCTCAAATGAGTAAGTTGGTTTGCATCCCCTATAAGCTCATGCAGAGCAAAGACTGAATGAATGAATATAAATGCGGTATAACTATGTGTTGTCCTTTGATTGTTTGGGTGGCATTTCTTTACTATAAGTTTATCTTTTTCATGTTATGTCAGTTTTTTAAGTTCTGGCTTCTACTTATAGTTAGGATAATTTTATGAGAGAGTTTAGATTCTTCCTGCAGATTACTTGGCAATGGCTTCCCTTTTCAAATTCAGCTCGAAAAGATAATTTGCAGCTTTACCACTGGGTATGTTATTCTGTGTTGTGTACATTTCCAAGGATCATTAGACAGTGAGGTATTTGATTAACTTTTTTTGTGGCTCTTATATTTCTCAGGTCAGAGTTGTAAATGCTGTTCCTCCAACAGGTGACTATTCCTTTGCCAAATATAACAAGGTATACATAAGTACGCTCGTATTTGCATGTAATATTCTATAACTTGTTCTGTTTTTCCTACTGATGAATTAATCTATTGTTTATTTTGTATTCCTCTCCATTTGATACTTCAGTAATGTAATATGCTACTTTGTCTGGTGCAGTCTGTCGACATTGTCAAGTACACAGACGAGGAGTATGAAAAACATTTAACGGATCCTGTAGGTTGCATCTTGATATTGCTTCTTTCTGATTTGATTGCCACTGGGATTGAAAAAATTTCTTCTGATTATGTTGTAAATATGTATTTAAATGACATTCTTGTCAATAACATGAAAAAAGGAAGAGGTCCTTAATTTGAGTTTGTGTGTTTGTGCTTATCTAAGAATAACTTCATTCTGACTTGCATTATCATGGTTTTAAGTGAAGGGGCAATACATCAAGTGTTCCAAGTTTTTGAACATTTGATATGTCATAGGTTCTCTTTGCTCTCTTATTTTCGTGGTTGGATTTTTTTCTTTTATTTTCTTTTGAGTATGAATTGCGTCAACAACTTCATCAAGTCATTGTTTATTGTTTTGGGTCTTTAACATAGTTATGTAGAATAACCATTTTGATGTGTTTTTCGTTTTTATTTTTATTTTTTAAGAAGTATTCAACTATGTGCTTATGATACATGTTTCTTTAGCCCACCATTCTTTCAATAGTCTTATTCTTGGTATTTGATTGTATATAGTGAATATGCATAAGCTCATATTTAATGCGGAAACCAACAAGCAAAGTATTAATTATGCTGCCAAATCCTTGTTAGTCTGTTCTGACTACTGATGCCTGTTGAAATTTTCTATAGAATAAAGGCCTCTTTAAAGAAGGGTTTACCAAATCTCACAAAGTGGCCCATTCTGCATTCTTAACCGCACATTACATGTCTCGTTTCATCTTTTCTTTAGCCAAACCTTATTCCTACACAGATGTGATTGTGGTCAAACAGGAATAGTTATTAAATAATTTAGATACATTCTTGGATTTCAGGTTCTTTTTGATCAATTAATTTGTATTAATTCTCTCTTTGCCCCCCTTTTGATAGTTTCATGAGTACAAATCTTCTAACTTTGTATATTCTTTGTTAGATGTGGACCAAGGAAGAGACTGATCAGCTCTTTGACTTATGTGAACGGTTTGATCTCCGCTTTGTTGTGATTGCCGATAGATTCCCATCATCTCGGACTGTGGAACAACTGAAGGATCGCTATTATAGTGGTATTTTAACCATCTTCTGTTGGTTACACTTTGTTTCTATGCCGTGTGTTCATTTCATATTTTGATATTAATGGCTCAATCCGTCATTCGTTTACCATGTGATAGTCATCATAAGGTTTAAACTGCTGATTGTTGTCTTGATTAATATGGCTATCTTTGTGTGTAGCTTCTCGTGCCATCTTGATTTCTAGGGCTTCATCTCCTGGTGATGTTTCTGGACATCCTATTGTTAAGGTTTGATGGCATTATGATGAAAGTTTTTACAATGACATACTACTTTATGACTTTGTAGTTTCCCAATTTCACTTGATGTTATTTCCTCTTAGGTTATCATATCTAAGTGCTTAATTTTTGTTTCTTGGTAAGTTTAAGTTTTTTCCTTTGTGTAGGAACCGTACAATGTTTCGCAAGAGATTGAGCGCAAGCGCTCATTATCCATGGTCCTTTCTCAAACAAAACAGCAAGAGCGCAAGGATGCTGAGGTTTGAAATTTGCTCCTGTATCTTTTGACTTTGACTTTGACTTTGACTTTGACTTTGACTTTGACTATGACTAATCAAGCATATTTGTGAACATTCTTGCATGGTCTTCATCAGCATCTGGACTGACTAGTTTATCCAATGTTCTATTTTTTTCTTCTTTTTTTTTTTATAATTTTTTTTTTAGGTTCTTGCTGAAGCAAAGAAAATATCTGAGTCATGCATGGCTGCAAGGGTAAATCTTATGTTGGACTAGCTATTTTGTTTCTTAGCATTACAAATGGAAGGAGAGAAGTACTCATTTAGATAACAATGTACTCTAGTTTCATGACCTCATGCGTGTTTCGTATGATTTCTTTCTATATTCTTTCTAAAGGTGAAAATTTCACCTCTTGATATGCTTACTGTAATTTCCTGCGTTGCAGTTCCATCTACCTTCCAAACTTCTGCTCCTTGCTTCCAGTTTCTGTTTTAACTTGTTGCACTCTCCATTTTCTCTGGTTACTATCCTGTTTCTCTATGTGAAGCTATTGTAATTTGCTTATTACTTTCTCGTTTTGTGCGTCTGATGTAGGACATCACTCTGAGAAAGTTTAGAAGCTGGCTTTTGTTGACTTGTGTTCTTGTTTCTAACTTGATTGAATTGCTAAGACCCATAAATAAATACCCTGATACATAACTTGACCAATGCCACAACCCATGGGTGTCTCCTATATATAGCCCATGCCCACTAAATTTGGAAATTGCCAAAGCATCCCTGACCTAAAAGACTAATCACCAAACATAGATAATATAAGAATAAGCATAAGAAAACACCTTACAAGGCTAAAGCATGATTATCCAAGGTCCTAAGTGGGTTGCTCATCATCCGATGCATGCTAATCAAGGTTTGGGCCTTGGAAGCATCTCTTTCATGCCTCCTCTTGTACACCTTAAGTTGTTGCCACTTGTCTCCAATGTATCTTTTAATTATGTTTCTTTTTTCAGTAAGTGTCTTTGTATGAGCACTAGAATGCATGTGTATGCTCTATTTATTGTCCTTTCAGGGTGCTGAAGAGTCAGAATTGCCAGTCACATCAAATGTTGATGCAGAAGGTACTGAAAGGGCTATTGTTCCTGTTGATACCACATCACCTTCTTCCAGTGTTCAGTTTGCTTCTGCAAATGTTGCACCTCCAACTTCAATAGCCGAGAGTGCCTCTGTTGCAACTTCTCTTCGCGTGGTTCGTTTGATAATTCAATTTTGTTTATGGTTTTTTCTTGTTTTAATCGTTTATTTTTCTATGCCATCCCTCCCTCGTAATCTGGGAGAACATTTTTGTATGATCTCTGCTTAGCTCACATTGTTCAAAGGTTTTTCTTCTTCTTTTCTTTTCATATGTATGCTTATGTATGTTTCATTAAACAGTTGAACAAGTCATGTATATCATATCTAACTCTCTGATAGTTATATTAAAAATAATAATAAATAGCTTTACTGATTGAGAAAGTTTTCAGCTCCGGGTTTACACTAGAACATATGCACTTGATCAAATGGTACAAGCTGCAAGCTCATCTGCTGGACTTCGGACTATCAAGCGGGTTGAGCAGACTTTACAAGATCTTGGGGTATGTTTTTGCTCGCTATACTATTTATGTCTCTTGGTTGAACTTTCAGTGTCATGTGAGCATGATTTTATTTACGTAAACATAGAGATAGTCATAGTGTTGTTAATATAATTATTAAAGTTGTATTCTACCTTTACCATTGGAATTCTAGTACAAATTATTTTAGTATTTCTTTTCATTTTGTTTCAGAACAGGTTGCTTTGATGCTTTGTTTGCATGTATTTTTATGAATTGTAGGAGAACATCTTTTTGCCTGCTATATTATTCCTTTTTCAGTGTTTTGACCTAAAATGATATTACATCACTAGGCTGTTCATCTTCTTTGTTTGTCATTTATATTAGATGCTTATTAATCTGCCATATTTTTGTTTGATTTAACATTCATTCTCTACCCCCTTTTATTTTTGAGATGTAAAGTGCATATATTAGGGTTCTGCACACTTGATATTGTATTGAGATTTAATCCAACAGTGCAGTGAGGAAACATTATGGGATAGACATAGAGGGGTGGGTGGCTGGGCGGGGAGGGGAGCAAGTGATTATAAGGGTTTCTCACAATTTATATTGTAGTGAGAGTTAATCCAACAGTGACAGTGAGAAAAGATTAATATGATGGATTTTATGTATATTTGATATATATTATACTATATAATATGCTCATCGGTTTGTCTGAGGCTGCAGTTTAGGCTTGGCCCAAACTTGTAGTGTAGCTCTGGACCAAATTCGAAATTACGCTGCCTAAGTCCAAAAGTCCAAAAGCTTGAGTTGCTCAAGTTGGCCTGCTGGAGGTGCACCCCTGTTGTAAACATGCTTTCTGGTCTTCTGGGTGAAGCCTGTCAGATTATCTGTAACTTAAACTTCGGATACTTCTCCTTTTTTGTTTCCTTATTGCTCCAAAGCCTAACATAGTTTTTAAATTTTCAGGAAATAACAAAAGTATTGTTCTTCATTAGATATTTCTAAACATGAAAGGATAATGTTTCAGAATTTGCTATCTTATGGTGTCACTTCTTAGACATTTTCTTCCGTTAAAATGCTTCTTAATAAGCAATCATGCCCTTTCCTTTCGCAGGTTAATTTGAAACCAAAGGTTCCAACCAAAGCTGTATGTGCAGAGCATCTTGAGTTAAGAAAAGAAATATTGACTTTATTGAATCTTCAGAAACAGGTACTTCTACCTAAGGTTCATCTTGAATTTGTATCTTTTTTCGTTGTTCAAAGATTTATATAATTCGAGTTTGCAAATGTTCTGATGTGCTTTGACTGATATTTCAAGGTTGCGAATTTTCTTTATCATGCTTTACCTTTTTATAGTTTATGGAATCCTTAAAGTAACTTTAGGCCATGTTTGGATCTTGGATTTATTGAGGGAAAGCAAAATGAAATAATAATAAAAAAAAAATGGGAAACGACACTGAAGTGAAAGGAGTTAAATTTATTTATTTATTTTTGTTGGCTTAGAAAATTAATAAGAAATGGCTCTGTATATGTGGAAAAACTTCATTTTTTTGTTTGTTTACCCATAAAGTTTGAATATATATAAGTAATTTCATTTCCCTTGACTAGTGTAAGATAACAAATGAAAATGTTGGGATGTATGAGCGATGGAATTCCTTGTTGGCTGTCTATGAAATATTCGTTTGGCAGTAAACAGGTTCTTATATAGAACCATTCGCAGGCGCAAATGGTAGCATAGTTGTATAGTCATTTCAGCTAACGTAGCTTCCTCATTTTTTTGTTTGTTTACCCATAAAATTTGAATATATATAAGTAATTTCATTTCCCTTGACTAGTGTAAGATCCAAATATAGCATTAGCAAAACTAGAAATTGGGATAAAGTTGAGAATAAAATCTGATGGGCACAAGATACAAAAGAGTGGTCATTTTCGATGGGCCAATTATTAAGGAGGGTGTGACCTATAGCTTAGGGCAGCATGGTTAAAATGGAGAAATGCATCAAGATTGTTGTGTAATTGAAGAATTCTTATTAAGTTGAAGGAAAAAATTTGTGATGCTATAAGACCTACTATGATGTACAACATGTTGGTGGTTAAGAGAAAAACATGTTCAGAAAATGTGTAACAAATGAAAATGTTGGGATGTATGAGCGATGGAATTCCTTGTTGGCTGTCTATGAAATATTCGTTTGGCAGTAAACAGGTTCTTATATAGAACCATTCGCAGGCGCAAATGGTAGCATAGTTGTATAGTCATTTCAGCTAATGTAGCTTCCTCTGCCCCTTGGGACCAACAAGGAATAGTGGTGTTACAAGAAAAGATAATGGTTGTGTTTGGCAAGCACTAGAAATGGATTTCTGAAGCGTGGACATCCTTTTACCTAATATATATATTCTTGTTTCAGGGGATTTCTAAATTGGACTTCTAGTAGAAGTGCAGTCTCTCTCTCTCTCTCTAAACATTAACATTCCTTTCATGTGTGACCTTGGAAACGTGTATTAATACCATATGGATTCGCGAACAGGGGAATGTCCGTGTGATGACAGTAGCATCTAGAGTTTTTTTTTTTTTTTTTTTTAAAAGTTCTAGAGTTTTTTTTTTTTTTTTTTAAATAAGTTTTTTATTTCTAGTTTTCGGTGGTGTTGATGGTATTAATCATCTTTGACATCTTGGGTCCTTGTCTGTTTTGTGATCAGTTGCAAAATAAGGAGGCAGAAGGTTCTTCTTATCGTGACGGTTCATATGCTGAAACACCAAACACACCTAAGGTATGTGTGTTGTTTTAGATCCTGTTTTTCACATGTCACACACACACTCTTCCACCCAGTGTATTTGCCATCTAGTTGTGAGAATATGCTTACTTCCTATGCAATGTGAAAGTCTGGTTTCTATATGTTAACAGCGTTTCCAACGTGTTGTTGATCAGGACCGCACATTCATTCCTGAGCCCTTTAGTTTCGGAGGTAACATTTTAAGTGATAAGGGCCATTTGATCTTGGCCTTCTTTTTATTTATTGATTTATTCTCATTTTTGTTTGTCATATTCAATTTTTCGGATGAAATCAATCTATATATTTTTCCATTAATTTCGATGTCATTGAAATTGCAGGGGAAAGAAACCCTGTTGGTAAAAGGGACCAGAAGCGGAAGGTACACACCTATTCTGTGTATTTCATTTCAGGCATCTCAATGTATTTTATGTCTGGTTCTTTTCTTCAGAATTGGGGAATGTTAACTTTCTTGACAATATTGGTTTTCTAGGCACCTGGAAGGTTGTCTGATGCTCCATCATCACCAGCTCAGTCTAATAAAAGGCCTCGAAAGTTAAAGGCTTCTGATGGATAAATTGGAAGGTAATTTTCTTGGTCACACACTATCAATTTATTACTATTATTATTATTATTATTATTATTTTTTTTTCAAGCTCCATGATTCAGTGAGTCATCAAATGTCAGTTAAATGATCAGTCTAGCATTTCTATGATTCTTTAATTCAAATACATATGTTTGGAAATTATACTTGAAATAATTGCTTTGCTCTGTGCAAGTATTTTTTACTACTATTGAATTGAAGGAGTGTTGTATGTGCTTTTATAATGTTGCAAGGGCAGGCTCAAGATTAGCCCAAAGCCTCTTGTGGGTTCAACTTAAATAGGCAAGTTTCAGGCGGCAGCATTGGTCTTAGGGCATGTGAGCATGTCATAGCCTGGCGGAATGAGAAGCATGGACAAAGAGGCCTCTGCTGTTGCAAGATTAGAAATCTCACAATGTGAATGATTGATGATCTGTGTTGTACAAAGCACCACCAGAAACTGTTAGAATGGTCAACTACTTCCATTCCTACCTCCTCCACTTCCATTCCTACCTCCTCCAGTTCATTAGTTGTGTATGGCATTAACTTAAAATAGTTTAATCTTAATACATTCTGTTTGTGAACAAATTTGGTTTTTACCAGAAAATTATGTTGTGATTTCTGACGCCTTTTATTGAACTCGTTTTACTAATTAACTTGGGGCAGTAATTTTCTCAGCTAAAATGGTTGGACCTATTGCCCGTCCCTCTCCAAGACAGGGAGTCTGCACCTGTCATGTGAAAATAATAATAAGAGAGTTGATGATTTGCACACAGTTGTTTTTGGTTCTTTGGTTCCGTCCCATGGCAGCCTATGTGTTCCTCTTTTACCATGCATATTAGGAAAGGCATGGCATCTAACAGGTTGTTCACATATCGGCTTGGGAAGGGATTTGGCTACTATTGCAAAGAACCAAAGCCTCGGGCCAGAGGTCAATTGGAGTACCAAGTCAGCTCTAGGCAGTTTTGCAGTAAGGGGTGGTAAGCGAGTCAGTCTAACACAATTGTGGATTGTTTAAATTTAATTTAATTTTTTAATCAATTTTTAAAATGTATTTAAATATGTTTAGTTTATAATTTGGGAGTCAGATTTGAGTAGAATAATGGGTTCTTAATTTGATAATTTAACAAATTTTTTAATAATGTATTTAAATTTAATTTATTTATATTTTGAGTTGATTGTAAATAAAGTTAAATCAGTTTGACTATAAAATGAGTGCGATAAGATTGATTTTTTTGGTATTGTTCTAAAAAAATTTTTTACAAAAATATGATAAGTGATTTTTTTTTTTAATGTATTAATGATAAGACTTAAAGGTTAGTTTGGTTTGATTTGGTTAATTTTCTTTTTTTTTTTTTTTTTTTGATAAATAAATTTTCTGTTATTTCTCTCTCTCTTGAGTGATTTTTTCCCAATACTCAGATCTATTTTTTTCAGATTTTTTTTTTCATTTAAATCTGTTGATGATATGAAAACATATATATTTTTTTCAAATTATTTTTTTAATTTAGATTTGTTGATGATGATGAAAACATATATATATTTTTTTCAGATTATTTTTTTTTTAATTTAAATCTGTTGATGCTGATTGTTGGTACTCAGATCTGTTATATTGATTTGTTGTTCTTGAACAAAATTAAAATTAAAAAAAAAACTCGGGTATTTTTCGGGGTCGGGGAAACTCAATCCCCGTTAAGGGATGGGGACGGGGACGGGGGTGATGGGTTCCCCCGCCGGGGTTCGGAGACAGGGACAGGGATTTTTTTAACCTTCGGGATCGGGGACGGGGGACGGGGAGTGTGGTCCCCGGCCCCGTCCCAGCCCGTTGCCATTCCTAACTCCTCCTACATACATTAGTGAGTGATAAAAGATAAGAAATATAAAATAAAAAGTAAAAGTTTGGCGAATTTCAATGCATTGGGATAGTGACAGTGGGGGTTAAAAAAAAAAGAAAAGGTTTTAACCTTTTTTCTAATGATACCCACTTCTATTTACACCCATGACTCGACTCATATTTTATTTCATTCAAATTTTTTTTATTTGTTTTAATTTGTTTTATTATTTATAATCAGGTGTTCAATCTAATTTGTGCATATTTTGAATAATTTTAATATTTTAAGATTAACGATCAAATAAATCTTCTGTGATCGCTTGGGATTAGAAATAGCACACAAATAGCATTTGGATTTGTACTAACCCATTCTTGCTTCATACCAACTCCACTTCCCCATGAGGTAGGGAAAAAACACGAGGATGCGGAGGTAGACCATCATACATAAAATTAAATTAACATAGGGTTAATATAATTTCCCAAATATAAGAAGTGAACTGTAATAAATGTAAACTTCAAAGGGTGTCAGTGTAATTTACTCTTATTTTTAAGTCTTTATGGCTCAGATACTTTAGAATTTCATTCTCCCCATTTTTCTTTAAGCCAACTTAAAAAATATAACATTTTATTTTAAATAGTTGTTATTTATCACTTGTTTTGTTTATCGATTTACATCACCGATATATGACAAATTATTATTTATTTTTATTATTTTTTAAACAAATAAATTAATCAAAAATATTTATATAGATATTGACACTGATACAAAATCGTAATAAAAAATCAATGAGAATATTTCTTTTTATTTTATCCCAAATCTATTCTATTTCTAACCTCACACTTATTTTAAAACCCATTATTTCCTCTCTTTCAAAATTAAGATAATTTGTAAGTAAAGTTTGTTTGTATATCATTAATAAAAAAAAAACAATATAGTAGAAAGCATGACTTACCCCCGCCCTAGCAAGAAGGTCAAGTGATGGAGGATCAATTCCTTTTTGATTGATAACAACAAAGTTGTAATCGTTATCGGAGCAGACCTAAATAGCAAGTATAGATCATGTTTAAAGACACTATAAAGTATTAGTGCACACATGAAAATCTAAAAAAACCATATAGAATAATGCTGCATTTTGAATTCAGTACCTTGTCCTTTAGCTCAATGATTTTCCTTACTCTCACATCGACTGAACGCCTTTCTGCTGCAACCATTGTCTCTCTCTGCTCTGCACTTGAGTAGAAAAATCCTGCATTTATTTCACTGAGAGAAAGATGTCAGTTTGATATACCCAAATAGATTATCCAACATATCAAGTAAATAATAATTAAGTCTGTTTATGCCTGATGAAAAAATTTCAATATCCATATCAACATCAATTTCAAAAAAAATCTTTTTTTTTTCCTTCAAATTTCAACCCCCTAACCTTTTCAAAATTGCATAAAATTTTGGATGGCAGGCAAGAATGCTTCCATCTAGATGATCAAAATCTTACAATTTATCACCATAACTTATAAATTGAGTTGAGATTATAAAATATCATGTGGACTAAACAACTTATACATTATCTCATCTTTCTACGTTCATAAAATTTGCATCATAACCAAACCAAGCCATAAGTCCCATCAAATGGGATCGGCTACATGAATCCTTCTTCTCCACGCGGCCCTATCAAAGGCCATTTCATTAATCAAATTAAGTAGATTCATATCTCTATTTAAAATGCTAGTCAACGTTAATCTAGGCCTACCCCGTCCCCTAACACTTCCATCTACCGTTACAGCATCGCATCTCTTCACTACTGCCTCTGTTGGCCTCCGTTGAATATGACCAAACCATCTCAAACGATTCTCTCTCAACTTATCTTCTATCGGTGCTACTCCTACCCATTCCCGAATACACTCATTCCTAATCCTGTCTTGTCTAGTCTTACCACACATCCACCTTAGCATCCTCATCTCAGCCACACTCATCTTATCTACATGTTATTTCTTGGTTGCCCAACACTCCGTCCCATACAACATAGCTGGTCTAATAGCCGTTCTATAAAACTTACCTTTTAGTCTAGTGGGTATTCGTTTATCGCACAATACCCCAGACGCACTTCTCCACTTACACCATCCCGCCTTAATCCTATAGGCCACATCTGCATCAATCTCTCCCGCTGTTGTGATAATCGACCCTAATCTTTTGGCGACTAAATATTTAGTAGCTAAAACGAATCGAAAACAATTATGGCGACTACATACTAGTTCGGAGAGGCGCAATTTGTTGAAGTTCATGAAGTTGTTCGATGATGCTCAACGCAAAGTATATCCAGAGTGTGAAAAGTTCTCCATCTTGTCCTTCGTAATTAAGATGCT